TGCATGTCATGTGACTTAATCAAAGCACATCATTGGCTAAACTAAGGTCTTCTCTTTCCAACAAAAAAAACGAGAATGTTCTCTTAAAGAGACAGTGGCAAGGAAATTAACACAAAGAGTATGTTGCCATATGGCTACACCATGCGGTAGAGGGTTAAATATAAAATATTTAAATACAAATATTTTTAAATATATTAAATTAAAAATTAGAAATATATTACACACCATCTTTTTGTTTTCTTTTTTTTATGTTTGTATTTATTGGTGATTAAGATAAACTCTGACTGGCTCATATTTCATCCATCACTGTAGTAAATGAGATTCTTTGTGTAGTATTGTAGTTAAAATGCATTTCTATTCTTTCTGTATTACAGTATTATTTCACAGTCAGCTTCAGCCATGAGAATCAGAAGGCTCTGGAGCTTCGTACAGAAGATGTTAAGGACTGCGATGAATGGGTGGCAGCAATATCACATGCCAGGTAAGTAAACTCTATCAGTGAAATTTGGAAAAAAAAAATCATATATACTGTTGTCTACTTCAGTGGACAGGAAGGAAAAGAGATTAAATGACCATGTTTGTTGCTACTGTAGCCTGTTTTGGTTATGCATATGCTCTGTTTTTTGCAGAAATATACATTTATGTGTATTTATATCAAAATCCTGTAAGTTCAGTCCTTATACGTTTTTCCCGCTTTGTTGGGATGTGCTTAGGAATGAGTTGATTTAGACAAGAACTTGCCTACAGAGAAAAGAAGACTGTCTTCTCATAATGGCAGGATTCTCTGCTTTAGTTTATGCTCCATATACTCATCAATTCACACAGTTTAATGTGAAGGGGGAAAATAAATGAAGAGGAGGATTTTTTTTGCGAAGTGGACAGATTCCATGTCTCATTATCTATAATTAGCCTGAAGCTTGTTTAAGCAGTCTTGGATGCTGCAGAGGTTCTGTTGGGAATATTGTTTGTTTTTAGTAATGAACTTCGAATTTGAATTCTCTGTTGGGAACTAACAAACAAAGCACAACATGTTGTGCCTTTAATAACAAAGAGCCGTAATGCAGTCAAGGACAAATGTGCATTTTAATGTTTTCAGTTTGTTTATGTTCATGTGAGAATTAAGGCATAAAGGGTTAACCCTGTTAAGAGAAATCGTCTCAGGTTACTTATGTAACCATGTAAGTTCCCATAGCGACCCCTAGAGGACGCAGTTCGAAGTTCCCATGAAAGGGAAACTGTACATTTATATACAATATACTGTTTAAAAAATATATCCAATTGTTTTATAAGGTGAAAGAATTGTCATTTTTGCACTTAAACTAAAAACTAAACAGAAAATCAGATCAGATAATGGTCTGTGATTTATTACTTACTGTGATTAGTAGTTTTCTTAGTCTTTTTGTGTGAGCCTTGTTGTATGAATTGACACAACCATATCAGGATTTTCTTTGAACCAAGACTTTCTGAGTTTTGAGAATCATAGTGGAAGCAAATAATAGCATATCGCATTAGCATAATAAGATGTAATTTTGATTGTTTACTATGCAATTTAGTTTGTAAACATTAACATTTTATGTATAATAGCAGTAAAGCTTGATAAAATACACTACAGGTTAATGAGGTCTGTGTTACAAAACTGCATATCCCATCATCCTTTTTGTCAGCTTTATTAAGACACCTAACCATGATTATTTGCTCTTCATTTTGATGCAATAGCACTAAAAAGCATGCTATAATATGAAATTGCTAAACACATCCATATTATCAGTGACTTTAGTCACTTTTTTGACTAATTTACGTCACTTATTTCTATCGTCACTACTAAGACACTATACACTACAATGTTTCAATGTTTTTTGCTGTTTGTTTTTTTTTTTGGAAGGAAAATAATATTTTTATTCAACAAGCATGTATTAATTCCATCACAAGTGACAGTAAAGACATTATCCGTCACAAAAGATTTCTATTTCAAATGAATGCTGTTCTTTTGAACTTTGTATTCATCAAAGAATACTTAAAATGTATCACAGTTTCCACAAAAATATTAAGCAGCACAACTGTTTTCAACATTGATAATAAGAAATTCTTGAGCACCAAATAAGCATATTAGAATGAGTTCTGAAGGATCATGTGACAATGAAGACTGGAGTAATACCTGCTGAAAATTCAACTTTGCCAACACAGGAGTTAATTACATTATAAAATGTATTCAAATAGAAAATAGTTATTTTAAATTGTAATAACATTTCACAATACTAATGCTTTTTTACTGTATTTTTGATCAAATAAATGCAGCCTTGGTGAGCATAAGAGACTTCTTTCAAAAACATTTAAAAAATCTTATCAAGCCCAAACTTTTGAACGATAGTGTATGTTTGGACTATATGTGTGGTTCATGCATTTGATTATTTTACCAATTAAGTAACAGCAGATATAATTAATAGCTTAACATGTAAGTTTTGCAGGTATTAAATAATATATGCTCAAAAGATACTCTTTCATAATCAGAAGGTCTAGTTTATTTTTAAGGAGAAGTGGTTCCGAAGAGCAGGTCTGTGTTTGTGATGAGTGCTCCGTTCTGGTCTCAGTCTGTACTGGAGGACTATTTTGGCTGTTTATCTCTGAATGCCCTGCAGCAGTTCTAAATCTGTGTGCATAAACATGAAGGCGTCTGGATTTGCTTGCTGTTTTGAGATGAGCGCTGCTCCAACAATTCTGTTTAATTGTTGAATTTGAGCATTCACAGTTTGCTCTGATAAAGTGTGTGCTTATGGGGTTACGTGTTAACAGTGTCTCTGCTAATGAGCTTTATTTCTAGTATAACGTGATGTTCCTCATTGTGTGGAGTGTGTGTGCGCGCACTCATGTTACAATATGAAGGTGGTTTATGAGGACACTACCTGTGTCCCCGTAATTCAAAAGGCTTAAAAGACATACTAAATGTTTTTTTTGTTTTTTTTTTATCTAAAAATGCACAAAGTTTTCTGTGAGGGGTAGATTTAGCGTTGGTGCAGGGCGATAGAAAATACAGTTTGTTCAGTATAAAACCATAATGCCTATGGAGAGTCCCCGTAAACCACCAATACCAACATGTGTGTGTGTGTGTGTGTGTGTGTTCTGTGTGCAGCTACAGAAACCTGGCCACCGAGCATGAAACACTCATGCAGAAGTACCTCCATCTACTCCAAATCGTGGAGACCGAGAAAACAGTTGCTAAGCAACTTCGACAACAGATAGAAGATGGGGAGATTGAGATTGAACGTCTAAAATCAGAGGTAAAATTTGTAATTCAAAGTGCAGTAGGGATTGTTTATCTATAGTGAACATGCCAAAATTCAGTCGAATATATCAGCAATTTTACTGCATATCAAGTTGATTCTGTCTCTCTGAAGTGAAAATGTTGTCTGGGAAATAAGTGCAAAACTAAATAGTAGATGCACTGTTCGAACAGCTAGTCAACTTGTTTAAGGAAGCCCCATATAAAAAGGTTGGTTTCAGGTTCACCTGCACATGGTTTACATAAGATGTGTTTGCACAACAGAATTGAAAAGAATGCAGTGGTTATTACTGGCATTATGAAATAAATGAATTAAAAAATAAAAACTAGTATAATTGGAAAAACTTGAACTAAAATACATTTTAACTTACAAATAACAACTAAATAACACAAATTAATTTTATGTTTTGATACAGAATATATTATAAAGGTTTATCATGTACTGTAAAAAAATAAAAAAACAGCAGCTGTGGTTGCCAGAAATTCACTGAAAAATATATGGTGACAAGGTGTTTTAGGTATTGCAGGATGGCATACTGGTACCTGTATATTTTACCCTAAATTTCATAAATTTGACAATAAAACAATAATCCAACAATAAATCAATAAAGTCATATAATATTAATATACCAATCTACTTCTGTCAAAATCTGCTGTTTAAAATATACAGATAACCAGTTTGTAGCTCCAAAAACCATAAATGTTACATTTTAAACCATTTACAGTTTTGGTAAAGTAAGATAACTTACAGTTAACCAATTAACAGGTTTTTACTTAAATTTTTAAAGTGTGGGGTGGCAGTTTGTAATGCCTGATCAAACAGAAACACAATCCCTGTGCCTAAACAGAAACACAATCGCATACTTCCCTACTATATATAATGTGAAAAACAGTATGTGAGGTGAGTAGTATGTCTGAATTCATAGCATATACGAAAAACAGTAGGCGAAAAGTACCCGGATGACCTACTTCTTTCTCCCGGATTCTGAAGTGCCCATTTGATGGACACTTTACTATCCCATGAGGCCACAGGAAAGGATTTATGAATGGCAGTGAAGCGACGCAACTGACGCATGTAGGTCATGTGACAGTAACAACATGGCGGATGTAGTATGTCCGAATTTCATTCATACTACCCAAATTCTTACTATGTAGAACATACTTTTTTAACGGTTGCAAAGTAAATTCAAATTCAAATGTAGGACAGTACACGATTTCGGACGCACTTTATGTGAATGAAAATGCAGAATTTAAGATTTTTTGCTAATTGACTAATGGTGTGCTAAGCAAGTACCATGAGCCATTAGTCTGCAAAACAAGAACAATCATTTACAGTAACTAATATTGAAAGAGTGCATATACGCACACAAAAAAAATGTCTGCCCCTCTAATCGACTAGTCAGTTGTTGGATGACTAGTAAATTATCGTGACCCAAATTACATGCTCATTTCTTTTCTGAAAAGGAAAAGGATAGAGAGAATGGAAAGTGGTGTGAGAAGCATTTGGTTTTGAAGAGCTTTCTCTAGACTACTTTGCACTTCACTTTGCATCTCTGCTCATAAAAAACGGCTCTCCAGGAGAACTATGATCCCTGCTGTATACTTCATCAGCCAGATCAAATAGTCATTTTACTTTAAAGTGCAAATGGAGCTGGCTGTATGAAATGGTGTGCTGAATATGCATGACCCCAGATGTATTGTGTGAGTCGCATCCTTGGTCCGCAGCATAATAAACTCTTTCAGTCCGCGTCCAATAAATGGAGCACTCACCTACAGACTGTGCTGGCTAGCTCCCGTCTCTTTTGTGTCCCCAATGTTTCCCTTTCAAATTGCAGGGCCATGTAATAATTTGAAAGTTTGTGCACCCTAAGCATCTGAAAATACCCGAGCGGCATCTGAGAGCTTTGATAGGGTGAGTGTTTGTGCCACACTGTGCTGGCACTGATTTGGCCTGACTCAATCACTTTGTCAGCATGCTGGGAAGTAGTGAGGGAAGGAACGTTTTTGCAAAGGAAGTGTTGACTGCCATTTTTATCTCTGTTTTGTTGCAGATTGCAGCAATGCTCAAAGACAATGAGAAGATTCAGTCGAATCCCACCACTGCTCCTAGCGATAATGATTCAGAAATCAAGAAAATCAAGAAAGTAAGACTTTGGCTTTGAATTACACAGCTCTCATCCAAAACCTAGTGAGCTGCCTACATAGGTAACATCCTAACTGTCATAGAACCACATAAGTGACTGATTTCATTTGTTTTTGTTTGTTTTTTAATTTAGGTTTAAATTAGGTATAATTTTGTTTTGTGGACTATAGGTATAAACATTTGCTATGTGAAATTGCTTATTCGTGGCAGTACTAAATTAAAACAAGCGAGTTTTATTATTAAATTTTTCAGATTGTGCAAGGTGTACTGTTTGTAAATTTATGACCACAACTCTGTATTGGATGAAATCAATACATATTTCTATGGATCATTTTCAATATTTATTCAAATATACAGTAAGTGAATTATTTATATATTTAAATATTTATAACCACTCACCTCGTCATCCATCTTGCTTTTTTTTTTTCACTGAGCTTGTTGCAATGCTAAAAAATGCTTCCAACGTTTTAAAATAAGCTTCACATTGAAAACAATTATGATGACTTAAAATGCAGCTGGGTTTTTGGAACAGAGCAAGTGTCTTATGTTTCATGATTGGTCAAGATATTTTTTGATGATTTTTTCGTGTTTACTCAGTTCAGATCTATTGATTTTATTGATTGATTCTTATTAATACTGCTGCATCAGGTACAAAGCTTCTTGAGGGGTTGGATGTGTCGGCGAAAGTGGAAGACCATCATTCAGGACTACATCCGTTCGCCACATGCGGAGAGCATGAGAAAGAGGAACCAAGTTGTCTTTAGCATGCTGGAGGCAGAGGCTGAGTACGTCCAACAACTCCACATCCTTGTCAACAACTTCTTGAGACCGCTTCGCATGGCTGCCAGTTCCAAGAAACCGCCCATAACTCATGATGATGTCAGCAGCATATTCCTCAACAGGTAAACACCAGTTCCAGCCAGAAATAACCCTCATGTTTAGCAGGATTTGCATGCACAGAGGAAAGAAACCTTTCAACATTTAATTTCAGTTCACTTGAATATCTCAATTGATATTGTTGAATAACAACAACAATGTGATTAGATGTCTCCTACTTCTCAGATGTTTTTTCTGTGAAAATACCCCAATAGTTTTGTCTGTGTATCTTGTCTAGTGAATTAGAAGAGATCTCAGCAATGTCTCACACTGAGCTTAGATTTGTCAAATACCAAATTCTAAAGTTTGAACTCAAACTCAGTTTCTTCCCAGATCAAATTATCTGAGCTTTGGGAATCCACATTAATTTTATAGCTTTGTACTTTTACTTTGTCAACAGTTGTCTCATTTATGTTTATTTTTTATTTCTTCCAAGCAATTTTAAGAGAAACATCTGAGGCAATTGGTCGAAAGTTTGGGGTCAGTAATAGAGCACAATAATTCTGACTAAAATAGTTGGACAATAAATGTCCAATGTAATTTTAAACCTACAAGTAAGTGTATTTTATGATAGTGGTAACTAAAGTGACTATTGTAATGGGGTAATCAAAATATAATGCAATTAATCTGTGCTTTTGTTTTTATTTCTTTTCATTTTTAGTTTAGTGAATTTAACTTCTGCATTAAAAAGCATCATTTTTGTTTGTAGATTGTAATGTTACAATGTTTTTGCACATAATATATAGCATAGCCTACAGGGTTACATTCACTATATTTGTTTTTATTGTCTTTAATATAAATGTTGTTTCACTGGAAATTGATCCAAAGTGTCAAAGACATTTATAATGTTACAAAAGATTTCTATTTCAAATCGATGCTGGGTTTTTTTTTTTTTTAGAAATAAACTTTCTGTAAATCAAAGAATCCTGAAATTTTAAATCCTAAAAATCCTAATTTAGCATATTCTAATGACTTCTGAAGGATCATGTGACACTGAATGGCTGGTGAAAATTCAGCTTTGCCATCACAGGAATAAATAACATTTTAAAATATATGGTATTATTATAATTTATGTTATATTTTAATGTTATTACATTTTATATTAAACTGTTATTTTAAATTTTAAAAATATATTTTAAAAATATAACTGACTTTACTGACTTTAAAAGCTGCCTTGGTGAGCATACAGCAAAAGATTTCTTTCAAAACGATTTTAAAAATCTTACAGGAACAATGAAACACTTACATTGTTGTTTACAAGTCCTGTTTGTTTGTTTGTTTTTTTGCAGTGAAACCATAATGTTTCTGCATCAGATATTCTACCAAGGGTTGAAAGCTCGAATAGCAAGCTGGCCAACATTAGTATTGGGTGAGTGCACTGCCAGAGCGTTTGGCAACCAACAGCAAAGAACATTCTGTAAACCCCTCAAATTGCAAGCTGGCTTTTTCAAAAGGTGCCACAGATCTGAGGCCCAGTCACACTGAATTTGATCTTCCTTCTTGTCCTTCAGCCGACCTATTTGACATCCTGTTGCCCATGCTGAACATCTACCAGGAGTTTGTACGTAACCACCAGTACAGTTTGCAGATCCTGGCCCACTGCAAGCAGAACCGTGACTTCGACAAGCTGCTTAAACAGTATGAAGCCAAGCCTGACTGTGAGGAGCGCACGCTGGAGACGTTCCTCACTTACCCCATGTTCCAGGTGACCATAATCTTTCATTCAGGCTCTCATTTTTTATGGTTACCATGCTATCAATCACAAGCTCTAATAGAGTTCTGCGTGGTAGCACATGGCAGGTCCTCGTGTGCTTTTTTAGTCCCTTAAAGTAGGGTTTTGTAGTGTATTCTGGTCTAATGGCTTTTTTCTTGTACTGTAAGCAGTTTCCATGTGATCTAGTCTAGCAAGGTCTACTTTGGGATTTGCAGCGTTGGTAATAAATGTGCTGATGAGTGATAGAGCTCCCCTCTAAGCCTCCTCTGCAAGAAATACAGTGCACACAGTTAATGAAGTTTTGTTTGGATTTCCATGCGTGCACATGACTAAGTGTGGATATGATGAGTGTGTTTGCAGCAGAAGGCAAAAAAAATGTAAAACTACCCTCCTGTCTGACATTATGACATGTGCTTGTTGTCTGGCAGATTCCTCGTTACATACTGACCCTCCATGAGCTGTTAGCGCATACACCGCATGAGCATGTGGAGAGAAACAGCTTGGATTACGCCAAGTCAAAGCTGGAGGAACTTTCCAGGTACATCAAAATGTGCCTCCAACACACCCATCCATGACCATGGGTCAGAATCGCTACATCATTTCTCACTACTCACAGGTTATGGGGCTCATTCAGGAAAAAGAAGCTGAATGAAGCTGTAAATTGTTCCTAAAAGCAGATCATCAAATCAAATCAATTGCTAAATGCTATATCTGAAGTTAAAGAGTGTAATTTCCTCACCACTATTGGCACCAAATGGAACTGCAGTCTGCAGTCTATATATGTATATATATATATATATATATATATATATTTGATTTTTATATACATTTTAGTTTTTATTCTATAATTGTTTTCAGTGTTTTATAGCTTCAGTTTATTTAGTATTTTAGTATTTTTAATGTCAAGCTTAGTGTCTTAAATTATATCATTTAAATTTATAATTTTAAATTTATAATTATCATTTAAGTGACATTTTCTTAAATTTACCATCTAGTGTTATTGCTAGTATTATCTAGTGGCATTTTCATGTTTAATGAAGTTGAGTCTAAAACTAAAATTAATCTGTGGCCATTTTTATTTGATTTTAGTTATTTTTGGAGACATGAAAATATAGTTTTAAATATATTAATATAATATGTTTTCATATATTTGTTAAAATATGTAATATGCAAATAATAAAATACATTTGTTGCCATTTTATTTAATTTTATGCAGTTTGGAGTCATAAAAATTTAGTTTAAAAATATATTAATATACTATATTTTAAAGTATGTAATATATAAATTGATCAAATTAATATATGGCCATTATATTTTATTTTATTTAGTTTTAGAGTCTTGAAAATGTAGCGTGAAATGTATTAGTACAATATAATTTAAAATATATATTCAAATATGCAATATACAAAAAAATTACATAGTTATGTTTTAGTTATATAAATATAATTAAACTATATTTTCATAACTCCAAAGCTAACTAAAATAAAATCAAAATTCTCGCAAATTAATTTCAGATTCAGTGAAACTTTATTATTATTATTTTTTTAATTATTATTTTTGGTTTCTGTTAAGAGTAATATCATTGTTTAACAAAAAAAAAAAAACACATTTGAAAATTTGTATGTTACATAAAAATAAGAGCTGTGAGTGCTAAAATGATGTACCTCCACAGAATTATGCACGATGAGGTTAGCGAGACGGAGAACATTAGGAAGAACCTCGCTATCGAGCGGATGATCGTGGAGGGCTGTGAGATTCTCCTAGACACCAGCCAGACCTTTGTCAGACAAGGTGAACTCCCAACACACACACACACACACAAATCCTCCTGAGCGCTCTGCTGAAAGGGGCCACAGATCCCTGATAAGAAGATGGTTGGATTCTCCTTTCCTTCTGTTCTTTTCTGCAAACTGTCACTCTTGTTACCTCTTATTGTCAAGCCCCCCACCTCCCTCTTCTCCCCTTCCCACTCCAAGGCTTTTCTGGGCTGCCCTCTTTTCCCTGCCAGCACAAAGCGGAGTGTCAACTCAAAAGGATTGGGTGCCCTAATCCTGCTAGTCTCCGTAGAACACAGTGTGTTCAAAGACCAGACCAACTCTTTCATTTCCAAGTGTAATCACATTTTTACCAGTCAAACTTGGTGTTGAGCCCAGGATGTCACTGACGCGCTGCAGGATACGAAGACACGAGGAAACTGATAAGAACATATGTCAATCCAGTATTTCCCCTTGTGCTGCCATAGTATTTGTCTGTTCTTCATTTCCCAGCCTTACCTGCAACGCTAACGCATCCTGCCCCTACATGCCTGTTTTTCAGGATCTCTGATACAAGTGCCCATGAGTGAGAAAGGCAAGATCACCCGTGGCCGACTGGGCTCTCTGTCTCTGAAGAAGGAGGGAGAGAGGCAGTGTTTCCTCTTCTCCAAGCATCTGATTATCTGCACTAGAGGCTCTGGAGGAAAACTACACCTCACCAAGGTGAAGCCTCTTGCACTTCGTTAATACACAATCTCAAAAAAAAGTATATATATATAGATAAATATGGTAGTATGGTATAAGTATAGATATATATGGTAGGACAGTTTTAAACCTGTTTTCATTCTTTTCTTAGGAGGTGAAGTAACTTAGAATTGTTAGATTTTCAATGAACTTGCAAAAATAGACTGCCATTAAAATTTAATAAAATAATAAAAAGAATCTAAAATTATAAAATATTTTTTGAATAAAATATTATTATTATTATTATATTAATAGTATTATTAATAATTTGTAATAATAATTGTTTTTAAAGAATGACCAACAAATTATCACCTTTTTAGAAATATTTTTGAGATTAAGTAACTTTTATTGGATTTTATAATATTTTAATTCACTTTGCCACATGGAAATATAATAAAATAAATGTAATATAACATGAAATTAATAGACTATAATAATAATAATAATAATCATACAATTATGCTAAATATGCATTGCCACTTAGAAATAAAATAATAGAATAGAATATTAATTATCTAATTAATCAATTAATTAAATAACAACAACAACAATAATAATAATGTTTTGATGAATGACCAGCATATTATTAACTTTTTCAAAATATTTTAAAACCTTTTTTTAAACCTAATTTAACCTTTCTAATATTTTATTTATTTTATCTATACACCATGTAGTGTGTAGTATGGTATCATATTAAAATATGTGCTGTCACAGGCTAAGCAGAATTACCCCTTGTAATATAAAAAAACACTTGAAATATGCCTTCAACTATTTATAGAGACATATAATTCAGATAATTTTTTATTTTTATTTTTATTTTTATTTATTTTTTATTTATATACAATGTTTCTTAATTTCTCAGAGGATGATTTTTGAATGTATCTGGTATGTTGTTAAACCAGTGAAATGTTATGTTGTGCCCAGAAAATGGTGATTACCACCTTCAGCTGACTGTAATTTTACCACATTCAGTGAGCCACTATTGCTCTTGGTCTTTAGGGAAATTCAAGAAGGAGATCCTCACAGTAATCACTGTTTTAGTACGGCTGCTATTGATTATTTGATAGATTCTCAGAGCATGTCTGACTGTTACTTGTCTCTGGATGGCAGAATGGAGTAGTGTCGCTCATTGACTGCACACTGATAGAGGAACCAGAGGGCACAGATGACGAGTGTACGTATCAAAACTCTTGATTTAATCTTAAGCATACCATAAAATATCTGCAATAACAAAAGAGAGTTGACATTTTGACACTGATAAGAGACCTCTGTACTTACCCACTTTTGAGAAGCATCAGTTGCCACTGATATGGACATGTTATGGGAGTAGATCGGACCACAAATCTAATCACAACAGACCTCCACTAGATTTATTCCAGAGGATCACTAAGTTATCATTTTTCTCTTCAGCCAAGTCAGACAAGAGCGGTCAGGACATGGAGCACCTGGATTTTAAGATTGTGGTGGAGCCCAAAGACAGCCAGTCCTTCACCATCATCCTGGTGGCCTCATCGCGGCAAGAGAAGTCAGCCTGGACCAGTGACATCAGCCAGGCATGTCTGCTCACATCAGATAACACTGAGTGATCCACACAGCCCTGGGCAAGACCTTCGCCTTTTACTCGCGTCCTGTGGTTCAAATACTGTCCTCACACTCTTTTTTTCTCTCTTTCTCTCTCTCACTCTTTACTATAGTGCATAGATAATATTCGTTGTAATGGGCTGATGATGAACGCCTTTGAGGAGAACTCTAAAGTCACTGTGCCCCAGATGATCAAGTAAGCACTTCTGCTCACACTGGAAGTAACTATGCTTTTCCAACATAGAAATGTTAGTAAATGTCTATAAAACATAGTCAGTTTCTGCATTAAGTAGATCAGCCTGTTTTTTATTCACAGTCATACATCAACTTTGTATTTTAATGGCACTTGACACATTTTGAGAAACTTAATACATGAGCATGTTCTAACTTTGCAAGGCTGCATACAGTATTACAAAACTATGAATTTGATCTAAAATGTGATTGTTGCTAGTGGCTGAAATATATATATATATATATATATATATATATATAGTTCAGTCATGAAACTCTAGATGGCGCATTTTGACGGGGTGTTAACGTAACTGATGATATTCAGAGAGTTAAACGACTTGGCACAAGCTGATTGGTTCATGCTGCATATGCAGCCAATGAGCTTACTGCCTTGCATTTATATGGCTGGCTAGCATTCACTTGAGATTCCTGCAGCGCGCTTTTAGAGTTCTCTGAAGCCCTCCACCTTCCCCAGCTCCACCTGTATAGATCTGCTACGGGGTTATTTTATATGCTATTTGTGCAGCAGCAGTATGTCTTAAATACTCGGGGCACCGTATCGCCATATGCAAAGGCAGTAGCAAGTTCCTGTACTTGCTTGCAGCAGCAATAATCTACAACTACAGCAATAACCAACAGCAGCAGCAATTCAGCAGCAGCATAGCAGATCTGTTCCGCCAAGACCAAATACATTAACATTGTCATATCCATCACCATGCTAAAATGTTCCGAGAGTTGTCATGATTGAAATATATTTATAATTTTAATGTCAGATACTGATACAAATATGTAGACAACAGGGGTGACAAATGAGACATAATAGTGATACTTTGTAAATATGTAAATAACATCTAATAATCTGTGTCACATGTTTAGGTCTGATGCCAGTCTGTACTGTGATGACGTGGACATCCGCTTCAGTAAGATGATGAACTCGTGTAAGGTGTTGCAGATCCGCTATGCCAGCGTGGAACGCCTGCTGGAGAGGTTGACCGACCTGCGCTTCCTCTCCATCGACTTCCTCAACACCTTCCTGCACTCCTACCGTGTGTTCACCAGCGCAGACGTAGTCCTTGACAAACTCATTACCATATACAAGAAGCCTATCAGTGCCATACCTGCCCGGTGAGCCACATGTCTGGTTTTTATAATTTTTTTTTTTTTTTGGAATACAGAAAATGAGATTACAGAGGTTTTTGTTGCAAATGGCAGTCTGATCAGCTTGACATGCACAGAGATGTCAACTGTAAACTGCTCTCATGTGCATAGTAGCATGTAGCAAGAGTGTTGTTTTCAGCACAGCCTACAGTCTACAATACTGATTAAGTTGAGCTTAAAAACGTCATACTTACATGTTAGAATAAAGCCGACTGAATAAAGCAGCATGGCGTTTTGTAGTTGACTAATCAGTCTTAAAAAAGCCCTTTATGACAAAGCTGCCTTTGGGATATGTTTAGCTAATATTTATGGCGTTTTTGTGTTCAAAAACAGCTGAATAGAGCAAGAATGAAATGAATTGCAGGTTTTAAAAGTTGACATGCCTTCTTAAAGGTGCTCTCAGTAATTTGTTTACTTCTTAAAAAAGGCTGAAATATAATATTTTTTTAAATATATATATATTAACATTATTATCATTTTAAATAACTGTTTTCTATTTTAATAGATTTTAAAATCCAATATATTCCTGTGATGGCAAAGCTGAATTTTTAGTAGCCGTAATCTTTACTGTCTTCAGTGTAACATGATCTTTCAGAAATAATTCTAATATGCTGATTTGCTGCTCAAGAATTTCTTATTATCACAGTTGAAAACTTGTGCTGCTTAATATTTTTGCAGAAACCGTGAAACATTTGATCAAGATTCTTTAATGAATAGAACGTTCAAAAAACCTTGATCTTCTATAACATTATAAAAGTATATACTGTCACTCTTGATCAATTTAATGTATCCTTGTTGAATAAAAAAAAAGAAAGAGAAAAAGAAAAATCTAATTAAACACAAACTTTTGAATGTGCTGTAAATATAAGAAAAGTCTAGAAAAAGTAGTCAACCTGTTTAGTTGGTTGTTGGAGAACCTATCATGATCCATCCCTAATTCTCAGCTTTTTTTATGCCGTTTGATGGACTTGTATCTTGGCACATATATAAATGCACATGCAGCTCTTAGTTTAGCACCAGGCCTTTGCTTTGTTGGATTTGTGTTCTCGTGTGAGAGAATGAGCAGAAAAATTGGTTCGGTGTGATAGGAGAGAGGTCACGCCAATGTTTGTCACCCTATAGTGAGAGCGAGCGAGCGTCTGCGTACGTATGGGATAAAAGGAGAGAAAAGTGAGAGAGAAAGTCAAAGGGGAAGGTAGTGAGATGTGCTGGAGTTGCTAAAGGCTTGCGAGAGGTCACACTAATGTGTGTCGCCCCGCTCTATGTATGTGTGTGTTCTGCTGGAAACAGCAGTAATTGGGCCCTGCTTCATCGCCTGCATGCCTGCCTGACTGAAGCATCTCCGCAGGGCTCTGTCGCCATCACCTTAGCAACCGGCCACTCTGCTGCAGGACCCCACCCTCCGCCCGTGCCGCATCTGCGAGATGAAATATTTAGTGTGCACGTTTTGCAGCCAGCGCAGCCTCTCTCACTCTCTCTTTCGCATGCGCGCTGTATTTTCGTCTTGCTTTCTGCATCTCCTCCTCCAGTTGGCTCTGGAGACGGAGATCCAGGCAAATCGGTAAGAGCCGGGGACCTCCCACACACCCACAGCCTGTAGCACCCACTCTTCCCTGGGCAGACTTCACGGCTGTGATGCCTCCCCAGACCTCCCCCGCTCAGCTGCCCTGCCTCAGCTCCAACGGTCACCCAGACTGTCATAAGTGGGTCTATTTCTGTGCAGGCATGACGTGTAGGGGTGGCTTGATGTGTGGGAAAGCTTCTCTGCAACGCTCTCCAACCTTATAGAGAGATGTGAAGAGTAGGCTGTTTATGCTCAGCAGAGACACTTTTCTCTGTCAGCGCAAATACCCTGAGCACACCACACAGCGTTGAGAAGCCATTATCAGCTAAATCATGAGCTGCAATGAGAGGCAAATACGTAACTTGTCTTTTTGTAGGCTAGTGATGTGCCGATGGTGGTTTTCTAGATCTGCTCTCATGTAAAGGTGAAGCATGTCATTTAATGTCTGTAGTGACACTGAACTGAAAATAATGAGTTTTTTCAAACAGGATCCTATTGGTTGGACAGATCTTCAAACAAACAGCTCTTTGAGGTTCATTCAAAATGACCAATAATTTGCTCAACCAATCATCTGAGCGAACCATTTGGTCACATGAAATGACATAAAGTCTTTGTCATTAGAATTTAATGAGCATGTTTTACTGCGGGAAAAAAAATATTATAGTTTTTTATATATATATTTATATATTTTTTGATCATAATTTAACATTTTTGTGATTTTTTTTTAATTGTTATTTTATTTCAGGGAAATCATTTGAATGGCTTCCTTATCTTGTTGTATCTGCATATTGAGCTGGAATTGACAGAAAGTATTGAAGAAGCATTGAAAAAATATATATACAGTACAGTTCAAAAGTTTGGGGTCTGTATGATCTCTTATGCTCAGCAAGGTTTTGAGCAAAAATACATTAAAAAACAGTAATAATGTGAACAATTATTACAATTTAAAATAACTGTTTTCTATTTTAATATATGTTAAAGTGTAATTTATTCCTATGATGGCAAAGCTGGATTTTCAGCAGCCGTTACTCCATTCTTCAGTGTCAGGTCTCATGTGCTGATTTGGTGCTCGAGAAACATTTCTTATTATTGTCAAAGTTTAAATATTTTTGTGGAAATTGTGATATATTTCTTTCAGAATTCTTTAATGAATATAAATTTTAAAAGAACAGCATTTATTTAAAATAAATAAATAAATATATATTAAACATTAAACATTATTATTGTCACATTTAATTAATTTAATGCACCCTTGCTGAGTACTAGTATTACATTCTTTAAAAAAAAAAAAAAAGGGTAGTATATTTCACCATTAAATTTAATTTGAATTTTTGAAACTGAAATTGCATGTCCATGTTTGACAGCCTCAGGAGGTTTAAATCAAGACAACATGCTCATTAACAACCCTCCCTCCTGCTCTTTTCGACACATAGATCCCTGGAGCTGTTTTTCGCGAGCAGCCAGAACAACAAGCTCCTGTACGGAGAGCCACCTAAGTCGCCCCGTGCCAGCCGCAAGTTCTCCTCCCCACCCCCGCTGGCCATTACCAAGACCTCGTCCCCCAACCGCCGCCGCAAACTGTCCCTCAACATCCCCATCATCACCGGTGGGAAGGCTCTGGACCTGGCTGCCCTTAGCTGTTCCTCCAATGGCTATGCAAGCATGTACTCCTCCATGTCCCCTTTCAGCAAGACCACGCTGGACATCAACAAGCTCTACGTGTCCAGCCCCATCACCAGCAAGATTCCTGACGAGGGCGAAGGCAAGACGGACAAAGATGATGAGGTTTCGCTGTGCAAACAGGGTGAGGTCATACTGCAAATGAGTTCACCAACATTTCAGTAGTTGATACCAGTACCAGAGAAATTTCAGTTTCTTGACACAGTAACACAGCATAAACTAATAAAACAGTGCTTTATTTAAAAAAAATATATATTCATTATATTTATTAATAATATAATAGAAAAAATCTAAAATATTTTTAATAAAAAAATAAGAAAGTACATGCATTGTTGTACATTTTTTTTGTATTTGTTGTATTTTTATATTACTGAATATTTGAGTGTGTGTGTGTGTGTGTGTTGTTATAACAAACTAAACAATGGCTTGTACCTTCAAGTAGTCAGACAGACTTTGGATAGTAATATTTATTTTAGTAACACTGATACACTTTTATAGTTTTTGTTAATATTTTGAATTTGTTTTTTTGTTTATATATATTATATTAAATTAGTAACACAATAATTGTGTCTTGTATCATTTTGATTAGTTTTTATCTTTTTTATTCTATTATAAGGTTTTAGTTTTTGTTTATTTAGTTTTAGTCATTTTAGTACCATACTTCAACTTAACTAAACGTAAATGAAAAATGTTTCCAAGCTGAAATAAAATACTTTTTATATATATATATTTATTTCAGTTAATGTTTATTTTATTTCAAGTAATGAAAATGTTTATTTTTTACGGTTTTAGTTTTATTAAGGATACAAACTGTTTTTAATCATAGTATCAGCTTGGAACCAACTTTTGACACACAGACAGCAAACTGTCATAATATGGTGGGTTTGTAATGTTTCGTGTGTTCGATATGTTATGCATATGGATAACTGTAATGCCTATGACTGATTTTTTTCTAGACATTTCAGTGAGGGAGGAAATCGATAACGACCAGATCCAGAGTGATGAGGCAGAGGCTGAAGTGTCGCCCACCAAATCACCCACCACTCCCAAAAACGTCAAATGCAAAAACTCCTCAGGTAGAAGACACTCTGTCCTAGACTTCCCTGCCATGTTGTTATCGCTGACTGACATGAAAAGCAGAGCACCTGCATCTCACGCTGACAAGCCACCTGCACCCTTCAGACCAGCCAAATGTTGCATTTATCAATGGCTCAAAATGGCAGGCTCGCTTGTTTTGAGAAACTGAGTGTTTAATTCAAAGGTCCAGTAACATTCAGTTGTTAAAGGTTTGCATATTTAGCTATATGTAAAAACTTCAAGTTCCTTAGCATTTTTGTATGTGAGATATCGCTGTATTCTGCTCTTTTTTTGTTCCCACGTGTTGTTCATGTTTTAAAGTACACGCTGTATCTGTAAAGGTCTGAAGTGATCCTGAGGACGTAGATGGAAGCCTCGCAAGACACGAATCATGCAAAATCTCATTAATTCTGTAGGTTTAAAAAAAAAAAAAGCTCAGGGAAACGCCAAAGGAGACGTGTGTAGGTGTTTGGGAAACTTGTGCCATAGCAACCATTAGCATGTATTCTCTCTGCCACCCTGGTTACCGGGTTTGTTTGAGTGCGGTCGATGCACTGCAACACCACTGTCTCCTTGCTTTCAAAACTAAATTAAATGGGGTTCAAAGGTCACTGATGACCCCATTGTTTCATATGTGTGACACAGTATTGCCATCAAGCTTTAGATGGCAGTAGAAGAATAAAGCATGTTTTCATTACCCTTAGGTTTTTTCTAAACCTTACCTGAAGCATGCAACAACAAACTTGTTTTCTTTAAAACGCTGCTTTTGTTATTCTCTGAGAGTGTATTTGAGGCACACATCTTAGTGAAATGATGAGCTATGTTTAGTCTCAACCATCTTGAGAACCATAGCCCTGCCTATTGTCTTGATGAAGACGCAGTCTGTGATTTTATGTCTCGTACCGCCACCTGCTGGATGCTTAGATGCACTACATCATTGCAGCATCATCACTCTTATGCACCAAAAATACATTTTTCATATGATAACATGATGCATTAGTCTGTGGAAAGTGCTTGCAAGTACAAAACTAACAGTATGAAAATACGGGCTTATTTTGGTCTTGCTGACAGTCCTGGACAATCTGGGTAGTCTTTTTTGTTTAACAGTCGTGACGTTTTCATGTCATCATCGGAGGCTTATCCATTGTGGAGATAATGTCACTGCCTCCATTATTTCTGCATGAGTCCATCTTGTCTTATTTTACACCTGCTGTACCCTTAAAGAGGAAGCACTCTGAAACACAGTAAATTCACATTTACTTAAATTTTGTCTGGATCTTTAGTTTTTGGGCTACTGCCAGTTGACAAGTTTTAGGTACACTGCATTGATATTCTTTAAACATGTTTGCAATTAATTCAGCTCAAATCTCTTAGTGTACAGATTCAAACTTTGTATTGTAGATCATTTTAGGCTTAATTGTGCTGTTTACTTTTTATTTATTTATTTTTTATTTTATCTATTTACTTTCTTACAATATTTAATATTGATGTTTGAAAATTGTCCTTATAAAAGAGATTGCTGTTAGATTTCTGATTATCTCTGTTGCAAAATGTTAATCAAAGTGTTATATTGTTTTAATTGTTATATTACAATACATTCTTTATTATAATTCTGATTGAATAAGCCACAATCGAAACTGTTGCAAAACGTGTGCTGGTAAAATTGCTACATTAATTTGCAATCATGAACAGCACTAGTATAATGATCTATATTATTAATTCAGCTTGAATATCTTAGAGTACAGGTTCAAAATTTGTTTTGTAAATCATTTTAGATTTAATTGTGCTGTTTAATTGTATTATTTATTTATGGTTAAAAATATTTAATTAAAAATATAAAATATTAAAATATTTAATATTAATGTTTGAAAATCTTTTTTATAAAACAGCTCTTAGATTTCTGATCGTCCGATGGTGTTGCAAACTGACTGTTAATACAATTGTTACATTACTTTGCAGCCATAAAAAGCCTAATACTATAATGATCTATATTACTTGATTATTGATATTAATTTCATATTATCAACATTATTTTATATAATATTAGTATTATCAATAATAAATTTGACTTTTTATTGGTTTATTGCTTTGACTTACATTTAATTAAATGTTCTGTAAAATGTAACTGACAGTGATAGAATTATCCTAATGTTTGCACACTGAACTATGCTTGTTTTTTTTCTTCTTCTTCTTTTTCTTTTTTGCATATTGAAAATGCCAGTATTTTGCTATCACTTGAAGTATGCAAAAATTTGATTTATTTGTTTAAATCTCTTAATTGGTTTTGAGTAGCTGACTAATTCTGAAATTGATGCTAAATTAACCTCCAAACATGCATTGAACAATCGCGTGTGCTACTTGTCTTTCTCTCTGGGCAGAATTCTCTCTGTTCTCGTACAACAATGGCATGGTGATGTCGTCCTGTCGGGAGCTGGATAACAACCGTAGCGCCTTGTCTGCTGCTTCTGCCTTCGCCATTGCCACTGCAGGTGCCAACGAGGGCACGCCAACCAAGGAGAAGTACCGCCGCATGTCTCTGGCAAGCACAGGTAGGATTCAGCAATCTGTTTCAAACTCTCATAGGCTGTGGATATTTGTTGCCTGGCAGAAGAGGGATTAATGTGAATTTTGATTGGTTATCAGGGTTCCCCACGGATCAGAGGAACGGAGATAAGGAGTTTGTGATTCGTCGAGCTGCAACTAACAGAGTTCTCAATGTCCTCAGGCACTGGGTGTCCAAACACTCGCAGGTGAGATTAAGCAAACATTATACACTCTTAAAAATAAAAGGGTTTTGTAGCAATGCCATTGAAGAACCATTTGGGGTTCCCAAATAACCTTTCAGTGATCAGTTCTTAAAATCAACATTTTAATAAAGGACATTTTTCCCCTTAAATAAAGGGGTCATATGATGCTATTTTAAAGATCATTATTTTGTGCTCTTCTAGGTTCAAAAAACTGTCGTCTATAAAATGCGTTGCACAAATTCGAACATCTGGGTTGTGCTGTTCTGTTGTAAATAAATCTTAACCAATGATTCCTAATTGCATCTACTTCCGGAAGGCCAAATAAAGTGCTTTTGCTTTCGCACTGAAACACACAGCGTCTCCCTGACATGGCTGCATCAACACTACTGCTGTTCCTGAAGCCACACCTTCTTTCTTTGCGTGCACATTTGAGTGGCATTATGCTAATATTTCCACATAGTGACGTAGACATGTGGGGGCGTGTTAGAACGAGCCGTTTTAGGTAGGCGTGGTTGACTCTTAACTTTTATAAAGAATATCTCTTTGGATTTGAGACTTTAGTCTTTGCAACTTTACAGATCTTCTTTATGCACCAAGAGCTTGTAACACTCCAAAGAGAAAGGAAAAATTGAAATCGCATCATATGACCCCTTTAAATAATCTTTTTACATTGATGTCAAAAGTTCTTCTTGGAACCACAGATGACAATAAAAAATATTTCTAAAAGTGTAAAGTAGAAACAAAATGCAGCACGGAATTTTTTTTTTTTTTGTGTCCAAGTTGTGGGTCATAATTTGTCCCAGAAGTACAAGTTTCTGCACCGATTTTGATGTGGCGAATTCTGTGGAATGGATTTAAACATGATAAAACATTAAAACATCATAACATATGAATGACAATAAAAAAGAATATCTGCAGAACTTTCTGTGGAGTTATGTGTGCATTGAATTTGTTTTTGCACACCTGTGTATTGTGTGTGTATGTTTGTAGGACTTTGAAACCAACACTGAGCTCAAAATGAAAGTGATTAGTTTCCTGGAGGAGGTGATGCATGACCCTGAACTTCTGACCCAAGAAAGGAAAGCTGCTGCCAACATCATACGGTGAGTAGAGTCTGTCTACACCCTGACAGAATCAATGCACACATGTAGTAGTGGATTATCCTGTCCTACAGTATTTTAGATTTATGTAATCTAATAAACTCTTGTTCATGTAATTAAATCAGTGGTTTTGCTTGTTTTTTTTTCTTTCTTTTTTGGACAGGACATTGACACAGGAGGATCCTGGTGACAATCAGATCTCTCTGGAGGAGGTGCTGCAGATGGTGAGTGGGGAGATTCTGGGTCATCCTCCAAATTACTCAACATTTCATTGCTAAAACGATCAGAACTTACCAATATATTTTGGGGTCCGAAAGATCGTTTAATGTTTTTGAAAGAAGACTCTTATGCTCAAGAAGCAATCTTATGACTAGTTATTATAATTGTTTTCTATTTTAATATATTTATTTTCTTTTATATTTATTATTTTTTTCTGTAATGTCAAAGCTGCATTTTCATCAGCCATTACTCCAGTCTTCAGTGTCACATAATCCTTCAGAAATCAATCTAATATGTTGATTTGATCCTCCAAGAAACAATGTTGAAAATAGTTGTGTTTCTTAATAGTTTTGTGGAATCTGTGATATTTTTTTTTCATGATTCAAAACTTTTGGCTTGTAGTGTATATCCAGAACTCCTCTTTTGTGTCAAATTGTATTATAGTCTATAGTATATTTCACCACTTATAAAGGTGTGTAAACTGTGCTGAAATTCATTATTCAGTATCTCGTTTAACTAATTGTTTGTTATATAGGCGGAAGGAGGAAAGTCAGAGCCTTTTGAGAATCATTCGGCTCTTGAGATCGCAGAACAGCTCACCCTGCTGGACCACCTTGTTTTCAAAGTCATACCATACGAGTGAGTGTGATTATGTTTCAATGTATTCATTCTTTACTAGAGAGTAAACAGATAGTTCACACAAAAATAAAAAGTATGTCATTAATGTTGCTTCAAACATTTATGCCTATTGTGTCCATTGAACACAAAATACGTTTTGAAGAATCTTCACACAGTGCTTGCCATATGACTTGTGCCTATTGAAGTCTTTTGAAGTAATACAATAGACTGTCAATTAAATTCTGCATACAACTTTGACATGAATGACATGAGGGTGAATAGACCATTTTTCATCTTGGGTTAATCGAACCTTAATGACATTGTTTGATTAGATTCAACTTAATACTTGAATATTTGTGAAGAAATGTGAAGAATATTATAACCTGTTTATGAACATGCCATCATCCCTAAGTTATCTGTGTGTTTTTCCTCACAAATATGTTCATTGCCATGAACAGGGAGTTTTTTGGTCAAGGGTGGATGAAGAACGACAAGAATGAGAAGACACCTTACATCATGAAAACGACAAAACACTTCAATGATGTAAGTGTTCAATGTGAAAACATCTGGTTCTAGTTAAGTGCAAAGTTGCTGCAGTGTATTTGTTGGTGCATTGTTCCAAATAAAGCATAATGAACACAATGTCGATATACCTCTGTCTCTTTTAAAGATCAGTAACCTGATCGCTACAGAGATCCTGTGCAGTGAGGATGTGAATGTACGGGTAGCAGTGATAGAGAAGTGGGTGGCAGTGGCCGATATCTGCCGCTGTCTCCATAACTACAATGCCGTGCTGGAAATCACCTCATCCCTCAATCGCAGCTCCATCTTCCGTCTGAAGAAGACCTGGCTCAAAGTGTCCAAACAGGTGTGGAACTGCCTGATAAAACCCTCATTGAAATTAAATGAATAGGCTTTAGGGTTAAAGTAGGGCCAGTGCAGTTTAAGACAATAAAAGAATATTTACTGGACTCCTCCTGTTGATCCAGTATTGATGAACATTTATTTGATGTTAGATCTGAAAGTATGTGACAACTGAATACAGACTGAAATCATTTAACGCACTTTATTATTTCATTTAAATCAAAGACCAAAACAGTCATTGACAAGCTGCAGAAGTTGGTCTCATCTGAAGGAAGATTCAAGAACCTCAGAGAGGCCTTAAAAAAGTATGTTTTTATCACTTGCAGTAAGTCAGTACTTGTTGCTGTAATTTAAGCCAGACTTCTATATTTGAGCATATAGGTGATAGGATTTATTTTATTTTGCCATAGCATGCATAATACTGCATTTTTTTCTAATATTTCTGCTAGTTGTGACCCTCCCTGTGTGCCATATTTGGGAATGTACCTCACTGATTTGGCCTTTATTGAGGAGGGGACGCCCAACTACACAGAGGACAACCTGGTCAATTTTTCCAAAATGAGAATGGTAGGTCTTTTTATATGCATTTCTTTAATGCGTGTGTGGGAAAGAGTTATAGATATCATTTTGTTATCAAATTTCCTTTATTTTACAGATTTCCCATATCATCCGTGAAATCAGGCAGTTTCAGCAAACGGCATACAAGATTGATTACCAGCCAAAGGTATTGAACTGATATTGGTCTGCACTGCCAAATTATGGGGTTTCATGATCAGCATGCACTAGCCTTAGTAACACTGGTGGTTAAGTTTGAGTATGCTTTGTTCTGTACATAATCATATTCAGATTAAAAACAGTAAGGCCCTAAAAATCCTTTTGGAATCTGCAGTGTAGGAAACTCGAATTGAGAATTGAGCCGTGGTTGCATTGAAGAATCACATTCAATATGAAACTGTCACCGTGTTTGTCTTTCAGGCAGCACTGTATTTACTGGACAGAAGCTCAGTAATGGATGAAGAAGGCCTGTATGAAGCCTCTCTCAGAATTGAGCCTAAAGTGCCCAACTGAGAGAGGCTCTGCCTAACGTCTACACAATGTACAGACACCACGCTCTCTACAGTATACATCCTTGTGTTCTGTTATGTAACATGATTGGTATTTTTGTAGTCCTAGAATAAAGACGTAGGGTTCTGCATCCTTACCTAAAAAAGAAAGGGCAAAAATGACTGTAGAAACATTTTTGTACAAACATTGTCAACTCGCCACACAGAAAAGTATTCTGTATATTTTGTACATGCAGCCCTATGTATTTCTTAACATGTACTAGTTTAAAGCACACCTCTTTTAAAGCGTTGTATCCTATGCTTACACACTCAATGCTATATGATTTGTGATTTTGAAACCATGATCTAGAGGTAGAGGACTTTAAAGTGTTTTTGCATATACTGTAATCCTGTCTATAATCGTTCTCTTAGCAGGAATATAGTAATGTAGTGCTTATTCTGTGAATATTTGTATGTATTTTTACTATGTACAGTCTGGAAACACACTAAACGCTCATGTGGCAGGCATGCAACACTGTATCAGCCAGAAACTTTAAAAAGAACAATATATATGTACATCTATGTGCACATACTCTTATAAATGATATATAAACATACAAACAAACATTTTGCTGTTAGCAATACCCAGTGGTATGAGAATTATCTTTCAACCCTTAAGTTTATTTCCACGGCTTGGGAAATATTTCCAGTTTTTGTACAAAAAAGGAAAAAAGAAATGAACAGAAAAGAAAAAGAAAGACAATTAAATAAACTGTATGTTTCCTGATTACCTCTTGCTAATAAATCTATTCTATCTCAGGGGGATATTGCTTCCTTGTATGTGGTTTTTGTCATGCTCACTTAATTTGGCTCGCTTAAAAAAATGGGTCATAAGTGTATTATGTATAATGATACGGGCCTCATTTATTTTAAAACGGCAGGTTTTTAGCATTTACATTTATGCATTTAGCAAACGGTGTTTGTTTGCTCTGATATTTTGCTGCCTTAAACACATCCATTAAAAATGTATAGACTTTATAAATAGTTTGCATGTGGGCCATTTAATTTCTGTTGTAAAAGAACAAAGTTTTTGTATCACACAGCTTGGCATGCCATAAATCATATCAGACACTTTTGATGTACACAGTATAGGGTAAATTTCAGGGAAAATATTGGGTGTAAATAAAAAAAACACTTTTGCCTTGAACACTGGCTGAAAGCGTGTAAGCTAAACTTATTGTGTAACTCACTAGCGAGACACAACTGGTCATGTGATGTCAACGCTGCAGCTCATGGGGAGGCGACCCGCTCCATGTAAAATAAAACGGCTTTATCTATAGGCTATCTAAAAAAAAAATAAAAATGCTGCTCATTTCTTTGTGTAAAACGTTTCAGTTTTCAAAAGAACATCGAGTGCACCTTTAACCCGAAGAGCAGAGGACAATGAAAGCCCTCCCTCGTGTAGGAGGAGTGCTGAAGCTCATGTGAAGACTGAGATCTTATATATTGTTATGCTGCTGTTATGAGTTGCTCATAGGCTTGAAGATGAACATGCTGTTTTTACCGGTGCTGTTTGCCGTTCTGTATCAGGTGCATACATTGCCACTGCACACTGAGGAAGGTACATTTTTTAACCAGCTTTTTACTTTGAGCTTTTTTTTCTTCTTCCACGTACGTGTAACACTGCATCGTAGGCTACTTTCGCTTTTGACTATTTGGCGCAGTACAAATGCATAACAAATTTATGACAACTCAAACTTAAAGTGTAGGCTATAGTCATAGAGTCATAGTTATATATAATACAACATTTAAAATAGCCTACATTTTGTGGACTTAAATACGAATGATTAATTAATTTAAACATGATAAAGGTACTTTGGAGAACGGTTGTGTGCATTAAAAATAAAAATATTTATTTGTTACAGATGAGTATCTTTTCAAATCATGGATGTCTCAGGTAAGAATAAGTTATTTGTAAGTTCATGTCCTGACACAAAGGAAATTTAAGGCGACACTATGAACGAAGTGAAAAATTAGGAAGAGGAAGAAAAGTAACTTTGTTTATTCTTTTGAAATTTGCAGTATGACAAAAATTATGAGATAAATGAATATTACCAGCGACTACAGATATTCCTGGACAACAAGAAGAAGATTGAGCGCCATAATGCAGGAAACCATAAGTTTTCAAGTAGGCTATGACTAATATAATCTAACTTACTGAAATCTTTGTTTTATGAACACGATGTTTTTTTGTTTTTTTTTATGAACACGATGTTTTAAAAAATCACATAACATTTCTCTGCACTTTACAGTGGGACTGAATCAGTTTTCAGACATGACCTTTGCTGAATTTAAAAAGTCCTACCTCCTGACAGAACCTCAGGTATTATTTTTAACAGCCTCTCGTGATCAATGAGGAAATAGGAAAGTACCACAATTCATGAATATTTTACAACCTGACAGAACTGCTCCGCCACTAGAGGGAATCATCTGAGCAGTAATGGGCCTTATCCTGATATGATTGACTGGAGAACGAAAGGAAACTATGTAACTAATGTCAAGAACCAGGTAGCTTGCTTATCTTGCTCTAATAATCCTCTATTGTGCTTATGATCATTTATTTTTTTAATTAAACAGTGCTGATGCTTAATCGGTGACACTATTCCAGGGAGCTTGTGGTAGCTGCTGGACTTTTTCCACCACAGGCTGTCTGGAGTCTGTCACTGCTATTGCCACAGGGAAACTCCTACAACTAGTATGTATATGTTGCTTTTAATTTAACAATGGCTGTGAACATTCATCATCAGATATTAATAATGTCTTATTATTTAATTTAGTATCAACATTGTAATGAATATACCAATAATTCCCTTTTTCTGCCCTTTGGCAGGTTCAAACAAACCCCAAAACAGCACATTAGTAATAAAATATAACTGTAATTAATGAAACATCAGGTTATTTTGTCTTACCTCTTCCTGTTCCTATCACGCACTCTTTACAGGCAGAGCAGCAGCTTGTAGATTGTGCAGGTGCTTTCGACAATCATGGCTGCAATGGGTGAGTTAGATAAAATGATGAATGAACTCATCTTGGCTTATTTTATGGTTTTAGGAGTAAAGTCTTCACTGTAAAATAGTCTAAACAACATTTTACTCCCGTCACATGCTTTTTAGTGGCCTCCCAAGTCATGCCTTTGAGTACATCATGTACAACAAAGGTCTTATGACAGAGCTAGACTACCCCTATAAGGCTAAAGTAAGTATTTTACTGTTTCAGCTGTTGTTTTCAAGATTCATTCATAAAGTGGTGACATTTGTTCATACTGTACATGCTTGTAGGAAGGTGAATGCAGATTCAAACCAGACTTGGCTGCTGCCTTTGTGAAAGATGTTGTAAACATTACAAAGGTAAGTGATGGTCCATGTACAAATATTAATATTAACTTCATGTCTTTTCTCTAACTGTAAATTCCTGTTATTAGTATGATGAAATGGGAATGGTGGATGCTGTGGCCAGGTTGAACCCTGTCAGCTTTGCATACGAGGTGACATCTGATTTCATGCACTACAAAGATGGAATATATACGAGGTTAGTATGAAATATATATACATTTGCTTTTATAGGCTACTGGTTTTATATTGGATTTATTTGTGACAGTTCTTGGCAATTTCTGTAATTTTATGACTTTATTTTATAGCACAGTGTGTCATAACACTACTGACATGGTGAACCATGCAGTGCTTGCTGTGGGCTATGCTGAGCAGAATGGAACTCCGTACTGGATAGTGAAGAACTCCTGGGGAACCTACTGGGGAATTAATGGGTCTGTTTGCATGATTTCCTCAAATACAGTAAATAAAAAATACAGTAGCGATTATATTTGAAACTTGACCATTTGACCAAGTTAATAGCAATAAATGTGATGTTTAATGTTAATTATTTTATTTCCCATACAGATATTTTTACATTGAGAGGGGAAAAAATATGTGTGGACTTGCTGCGTGTTCATCCTATCCTTTACCTTTGGTGTAAATAACTGAAATGTATTTTCTTACACCATAAAAAGGGAGACAAGTTATTACATTTTACTCTCACACAAAATCATTTTATGCACAATGGACAACATCTTCATAAATGAGTTGTAGTCTATACTAGCTGTCAGTAAATAAGTTAAATACTTATTTAACTTTGTAATAAATAATTATTCACATTAATTTAAAACATTCAATGACACCCCATTTGCTCTTAATATGCTTTTTAAGTTGTCTGCTTTGTTAAAATTAAGATTTTATGTACAAAACTATTGTACTGAAATACATCTTTTCTCAGGGATTTGTTTTTGTGTGTGTGTCTTATATTTTTTATGGATCACTTTCCATCAGAGTAATGGTGTTCATCCATTAAGTACAGCTTAAAGACTTTAAAAAGTAAAACACTGCAGACATTGCTGGAGTTACTACTATATTAAATATATAATTGTATATGCTGCTTTTTAATTAAATACTGTGGGACTGTACTTCCTTGCTGAGATAGAATATGTAAATGATGTGCAATTCCACAGCAAACCAGTATGTGGCGACCTAAATCCACATCTAATGTTTGAGCTACAACAGCGAGCGCCAGAGAGGAAGCAGTTATTTAAGTACTTATTAGTCTACGTTGAGACACGAAAATACACTGAGCAAAAAAAGACAGTGGAGAACTAGAGAAAAGATACTGATGGTGTAAAACTGAAAATGAGAAAAAATATATGTTGCAAACAAGCAGCCGCTTACCGGAAGTGACGTTACTGACAGCTGTCCAATCAGAGTACGAGCTACGAATACGCGGTAAGCACGAGCTTTCAGAGGTGTTATGGTGACTTTGTGCGCGCTCGTATGTTATATCAGAATATCAAACTTTTGTGTTTGGTGGCGGAAATTGTAACGGCATTTTGTGTGACTTTCTCTTTTTGTTGTTTTAATGTTCACACGATGGCAGAAAGAGAGCAAAACTTTCCGTTGTGAGTTTTCTGTCCTAAACCAAGGGTTGTAATATCGCATTCTAACGGAGCATACCTGTATTTATTTTT